TACATACTTCCATTTGGTATATTTTTTCTTTAGAGAAGAACTTTCTTTAGTATTCCCTGTAGTGAAGATCTGTTCTTTATAAATTCTCCCAGCTCTTATTTTTCTAAAAAGGTATTTATTTCACCCTCCAGCTTTATTGAGTTATGACTGAAAGATAAAAAATTTTATGTATTTAAGGTGTACAACATGGTGTTTTGATGTAAGTATACCTTGTGTAATGATTACCACAATCAAGCCAATTAACATATGCATCACCTCACATACTATATTCTGCCATGTATAATGCACGCTTTTTTGCCCAAATGTGTGAGGGAAAAATAAGGATGCGCATTGTACATGGGTAGTACAAATTCCGTATCTATATGTTTTTAATTCTTTCATTTATGCTTATGAGTTAAAAGTGTAACTCTAGAAATCAATAAAGATATCCATATGCAAAATAATACCCTGGGATATTATAATCAGTTTTGTTGAACTTATGAACTTGCAACGATGAAGAGCTCTTGGCCTTCTATGATGCATAAATATTATCATGAATTTGTTACCGGTACATAAAAATTTCTTGTACCATAATATGTTAAAAAATGAATGCTAAAATTCCTTTATAATATCAAAAAAAAGTACCTAAATATAAACAAATAAAAATTTGAGTTAAAAAGATTTTTTCCCCTGAAAGTTTGGGCCAAAAAACGTGGGTGTGCATTACACACGGCAAAATACAGTAGTTTCGATTGTGTGTGTGTGTGTGTGTGTGTGTGTGTGTGTGTGTGTGTGTGTGTGTGTTGAGAACACTTAAGATTTACTCTTACTGAATTTCAAGTATACTATACGTTATTAACTATAGTTAACTATGCTATACATTAGATCTCTAGAACTTACTCATCTTATAACTAAAAGTTTGTTTGCCTTGCCAGCATCTCCCCATTTTCCCTACTTCCCAGCCCCTGACAACCACCATCCCGCTGTTTTTCTGATTTCTACTTTTTTAAATTCCACATGTACATATCATGCAAAGTTTGTCTTTCTGTATCTGGATTATTCACTTAGCATAATGCCCTCCAAGGATGTCCTTTCTTGAGGTTGAATAATATTTTATTTTTTATATCTCATTTTCTTTATCCATTCATCTGTGATGACACTTTGGTGGTTTCCATGTCTTGGGTATTATGAATAATGCTAAAGTGAACATGGGGGTGCAGATATCTCTTCAAGGTGCTGATTTCATTTCCTTTAGATATATACCCAGAGTGGGGTTGCTGGATCATATGCTAATTTTATTTTTAGTATTTTGAGGAACCACCATACTGTTTTCCATAGTATCTGCACCAATTTACATTCCTGCCAACAATGCACAACTTTTCCCCATATCCTCACCAGTATTTGTTGTTATTTGCCTTTTTTATAATAGCTATATTAATAGAAGTGAGATGTTCTCTTATTGTGGTTTTGTTTTTGCATTTCCCTAATAATAGTGATGTTCACCACCTTTTTATATATCTGTTGGCCATTTGTACATCTTCTTTTGAGAAATGTCTATTCAGTTCTTTTGCCGCTTTTTAAATTGCTATCAATAATAGGAAATTAATTCTAATTTGCCCATTTTTTTGCTATTGAGTTGCATGAGTTCCTTTTATGTTTCGGATATTTAACCTCTTGTCAGATATATGGTTTGCAAATACTTTCTTCCATTCCATAGATGTCCTTTTCATTTTATTTATTGTTTCATTTCCTGTGGAGAAGCTTTTTAGTTTGCTATAATCCCACTTTCCATTCCAAGATATATATCGTCTTTTTTGAAATACCCATTGAAGCGTCTGGCCTGTTGTTCCACTGTGTTGTTTTTCTTTCGGTTTCTAGGAA